GGGCTGGGGATTTGAACCTGCTACCTTAGGTGTATGTGGCTGGTGCCTTAGCCACTTGAGCCACAGGCGCCGAGCCAAGACTGATACAGTTTCAAATCTTCATCTAGGTGTCACCTTGGTACAGATCTGAGCCTTAGTTTTCTCATATGCAAATGCAGATAATAATTACCATGAAGGTTTTCATTTGTCCATTTTTCCTTCATAAGTCAATGATATTTTGTTCAGTATCTACTGTGTGCCAAGCATTGAGATGCTTCATAGGGTTGAGGTGAAACTTAACAAGAACATAGAATTAGGTGCTCAATAAATATAATTATTATCAATAATTTTTTTACAGTAATTTGTTTTACTACTTTTTTTACTATAATTCTTTTTTTTTTTATTAAGTGATAGCTGTGTACATTAATGCAATCATGGGGTACAGTGTAGTGTTTTCATATACAATTTGAAATATTTTCATCAAACTGGTTAACTTAGCCTTTATGTCATTTTCTTAGTTACTGTGTTAAGACGTTTATATTCTACTTTTAGAAAGATTCACTTATGTTGTTTGCCGGGCCCAGGCTGGATTCGAACCCGGCAGCTCAGGTGTATGTGGCTGGCGCCTTAGCCGCTTGAGCCATAGTCGCTGAGCCAATTCTTCTCATGACTATTGTATTTTCTAAAAAGCTGAAGGAAATGGTAGAATCAGACACTTTGGGCTCAAATTATATATCAATAGCTCACTTGCCAAATCATTAGATCTACATAATGACATCAGTTTCTTGTAAACGGGAATTAGTAGTATCAATTTGCCCAATTTGCCCACTGCCTGATTTGTTGAAGCTGAATTTTCTCTATCTGGCAGTTCTGAGAATGGTTAGGTGTGGGGACCACATGTCAGATCCCCGTGTTTCCTGGGTTTTGGTTCCTGGTAATGAAGAATGGTTCCTGGCACCAAGTCTATGGAGTAAATGATCAGAGCAAGCAGGTGCAAGTAGGCAAAATGCCAAAGGTTTATTAAAGCATAGTACATTCCAGAGAAGGAGTGGGTGCTAGTGGAGGTGACCCTGAGTTTAACAAGATTTCTCCTTTTATGCTACTTCCCTAATTTTATGTTAAGGTGGGGGGGTATTCATGGTTTTTCTGGAAAAGGGTGAAGAATTCCTGAAATTTGAAACCCTTCTTCTTTCTATCCTTGTAAGGCAATTTCTAGGGCTTGCCATGGTACTTGTAAGTTGTCATGGAGTGGGTGGGTGTGATTTTTACCACGTTAATGACGGTAGGTTATTTTGGGACACTGTTAACTGTGCACATGCTCCAGAGACCCCGTAGTGAGGCCTTGATCTTATCTCCACTCTGTGATTTTTCTGCCTCTTTCTGGTCAGTCAGTCTTTGAAGGCCCTCTGTTGTAGACCAAACATCTGGTCAGTCCTTGGGGATCCCCTGTACATGTCATCTGTTCTTTCTTGGGAGCCCCCTCTGGTCACTTTTTTCCTTCTAGTAGACAAAGCATCTCCTAGTGGCATCTGCCTCTCAGTGGACACCCCTACACAAAGCATCTATTCCCTTCTTCCTTATCCCTACCTAACAAAACTAGGAGCAAAGCCATTAATAAGAAAATAATTAAGATAAAATATGAAAGAGTTAAGTCATTAGAATACCATGGAGAGCTGGAGAGTGCCAAATCAGAGTGAGGATAGGGACAACTCAGGTCTGAGTTGTTAATCTAAAGTCAGGAGGGACAGGTGCAGAAGCAAGGCAAAAGAACTAGATGACTCACAGTATATGCAGACTTTCCCCTTACGAGGGTAGGTATAAAAAGAACTGCTCCAGCTGGTTTTAGGAGTTAGGTCCTAGGGGCCAAAATAGGGTGGGTTATATCCTGGGAAGTCTCAGGGGAAAGACAGGCAGGCAAATCAAAGCCAAAATCATTTTTAAGAAGTTGAGTCAGATATCAGGGATACCACAGAATTACTAAATATAAAACACCAGAGATGGGATCATAGGAGGGCTTCAAAGTCAAGGATTTAGAATACGGCAAAGATGGAGTCATAAGAACAAAGAAGGTGATAATAAGCAACTTGGTTTCAAGGTGATTGCTACGAACATTCATCACGTGTCTGTAGAATGTCAAAACACTCAGCAGGTCCAGAATCTGACAGCCAGCATTTTCTTGTGGAAGGAGCTCTTTTGAAGATCTAGGGACCACTTTCAATGGGGACAACTTTTGTTGTCCTGAGCCTGGCATTTTATATAGTCCCCCCATATAGGCAGGAAGAGAAGTTCTGAAGAAAGTCTTTTTTAAAATTGATACTTTCCAATGTATGAGCTGCATATGGAACTGATAAACTCCCTGTCACTTTAAATGTTTAAGGAAGGGCTGAATAATTCTTTCTGTTAATAGGTGAGAAATTAGACTAAATGACTAGTCCAACTCAAAGATATAATTCAAGGATTGCAGGGTTAGAGGTATAACACTTAGATAACTTTTAACATAAAAGCATACTACTCACTTACAGTATTTATAATTTATCACCTATGATCACATCCAAATATTTTGTTTAGTTTTATTCTGAAGCAAAAGAAATTACTTCTTTGTATTAAAGGTCTTCATTTATTTTTAAACAGTTGGTATCTTTTACATTTTATCAATTTGAGAAAATTTATTGTATTCATGAATTCAACTACAGTAGAACCTCCATAGTTGACCACCTTCCTACACCAACCACCTCCTTAACTTGACCTAATTCTTATAGACTAGACATGCACCACATGTACATATCAGTTCAGTAGGCCTAGTTCCTTGTGTGGACCCGTTTGTTATAGTCCCTTGGGTGGTCAGCTTACAGAAATTTTACTGTATTTATAAAATTCTCACTATATTCAAGGCACTCTGTTAGATAAAGATACATATATGTAAGACCTGGTTTCTTTTATTTTTTGTAATTTTTGGCTGGGGCTGGGTTTGAAACCGCCACCTCTGGTGTATGGGGCCAGTGCCTTACTCCTTTGAGCCACAGGCGCCACCCAAGACCTGGTTTCTATTCTCATAGAGTTTATAACCTAGAAGAAAAAATAACACAGGTCCTTATTTTTGCTTTACATCTTAGATATGTTATTCTGAATAATTATGGTTCTGGTTATAATTCTTTATAGTTGTTTGTTCATTTGTATGGTATGGCAGGGAAACACAGCCTAGATCCCTTTCTCCCCCTAGCTTGTTCTTCTTGTTAATGTCTATTTACTATCTTTCCCTAACATTACTTTCTTGCATATTTTCTGGCTCTTTTTTCTTTTCCTTCTGCATGATATCTTTTTTCTCTTCTTTCTTATGCAGAAACAGATATGTACAAATGCTTGACCAAATTGCTCGGCAGATGATTGACTTCTATAAAGACTTGGTAACTCAGCGAATGATGGACCAGCGCATTTTAGAAGAATTGTATAATTTTAAGCATGTTATTGAAGAACTGACCAGGTAAAAACTATACTCAAATATAAAGCAAAAGTGAAAGTCATATCTTTAAAGAAAGCAAAAAATATTCAGGGAAAGTGGAATGATTAAAGGTAAATACTCTTCTGTCTTGTCATGTTTATCAAGAGAACAGAAAGAACTGGATATCATTGTTGATATAGAAAAATATGTTATGGGAATTAATACAAAACTAAGGCTTTGTGTATTTGACAGGGAAAAGACTTGTTCTTCCTTCCAAGATACAGATGTTTATCTTAACTAGGTTCACAGAGCAGTGTCATGATTATCATGTGAAGGTTCAAATCTCAAAGAGATTAAGTACTATCTAGCAGCCATGGTTAGTGATCATCTTACCTTGAGGCAAGATGATTAGTGGCAAGAACAAAGAGGACATGATAGGCATGTCAGAGAGTGGAGGAGAGAAACATACAGGCCTGTCAGCATCCTTCCTCTAGAATGGAATGAATGATCCTTCTGCTCAGATCTTTCTGCTTTTTCTTGCTAGCCTCATTCCATTGTTAAAATTGGCATGATTTCATTCAGAACATACACTAGATTTCTTGATTTCTTTGGTTTATAAGGTGGAAAACTAGGAAGGGAAGTACACATAATAACTGAGAAGATGGCTGTGTATAAATCTGATTTCCTGGTAAAAGCTTTTGAACGTTTCCAATTATGAATTTAAAATTTCTTTGCTTTGTTCCAGGGAACTGTGTCTGGTTCGGGCACATGATGTGAAATTAACAAAGGATGCTGAGAAGGCCCACAGGGATTTGGCACAAGCTCTTTTAGATGCTGAAAAGAATGCCAAGTGAGTTACCTAAACTTTGTGTAGCATACTATGCATACAGAGGAAAGGGAGGAAAAAAGCTTTTGCAGCTTCTTCTTTTTTTTTTTTTTTTTGAGACAGAGTCTCACTTTGTTGTCTTGGTAGAGTGCTATGGTATCACAGCTCACAGCAACTTCAAATTCTTGGGCTCAAGCAATCCTCTGGCCTCAGCATCTCAAGTAGCTGGGACTACGGGTGCCCACCACAACACCTAGCTATTTTTAGAGACACAGTCTTGCTCTGGCTCAGGCTGGTCTTGAACTCATGAGCTCAGGCAATCCACCTGCCTTGGCCTTCCAGAATGCTATGATTACACGTGTGAGCCACCATGCCCAGCCTCCCTGTGATCCTCTCAACAGTGTGAATAGTATTGGCTTACCCAGTTTAATCTCTATGATAGGAAGTGGTAAATAAGTAAGAACAACCAAACCCTGTATGATTGAGTCAGTAAATACTGTTTAAGTGTTGTGTACATTTACCTCCCTGTCCATAGGTAGTGCTTTCTGGGAGGAACAAGCCTAAGTGTTGTTTCTGGGACCTGAGACTGTATCTAGGCCTTCAGGAGAAGTACTTAAATGCTCCAGGTAGTGGGTGGGGCACTTGAACTTCTTTCAGATGTGTGCTTATTCTCTGGCACAGCAGAGGCAGGTCCTATAGTGAGGCTGGACAGAGGTTTTTTTTTTTGTGGTGAGTTTGTCCTTAGGCTCCACAAAAGCTGGCAGGGAAGCTATTTCAGCAAGGTCAAAGGTCTGCTCCTAGCTCCTATGGAGTCACCAGGGTGGGGCTAACAATGTGGCCTCGCCTAACCAGAATGTCTGCTTGTGGAGGTGGGCCTATCTGAGATTCACAGTCTGGCTTCCAGAGTGGGTTTCCCTCTTCTCCCACCTTTCCTGCTCCATGGTCTTTCAGTGGTCCTTTCAGTGTCTGCCAGCAGGCAGGAACTCAAACTAGCTGAGTTTCCCTAGATTGTACAGTCGACTGGGAGCTTCCATGCTTAGGATCCTGGCCAGGGCTGAGAGCGTGGCCTTTCTGTGAGGGTAGGGGTGCTCTTTGAGCATACTGCACTTGGGACCCATGCTGTACAATCCTCTCAGTTTTGCCCATGTGGGCTCCATGACCTCCAGAGATTAGTTTATAAATCTCCCCTCTGTATCCTTGAGCAACATGATTGAGTCCCGAGGATATGGGATTTGGTCTATGGGCCTGTCCCTAGGTCTCTAAAGATCAATCCCTGACCGTACCAGGTATAAGCATGCTTGTCCTGGATTGCCCATGTGCTGAAATGGATTTGATGTCTTTCCTCTTCAGGTTGTGACCTACTTTGATGGAGCTGCTGGGCAGGCAGCATCAGTGAAGGCCCAAGCTCACAGTCCAAGAACTCATTAGTCCACAGAAGCAAGACTTAAAGGGGAAAGGCTTTAGCCCCACTCTCTGTGGAAGCCTCAGTGTTATGGCTTAATTATTTCCCTTGGCAGCCACAAGTGGGAGAGTGGAAGGAGAGGGAAAGATTCTAATAGAGGAAAGGTAGCACCCTGGTCATTTCTATTCCTCTCTCCAGAATGCAACCTACCTGGAATATCCAGGCTTTGGGTTCACATAGATCTCCCAGGACTTACTGGACCCCTGTAGCATCTGCAGTCTGGGCTAGGGTTGGGAAACATTTGTGTGGGAATGAACAAGACAAAAACTGAGGGACTGAAGTCCCCTGGCAAGACGAAAGGTTTATGGTGGGTAGAGAAGCAATATGACACCTGCCATCTTGGATTGGGTCTGTGGTGATAGGAAGCATCCTGGGGTGGGGGTGGCTGGGAGCCTCAGGGTTTGTCTGCAAAAAGCTTCCAGTTCACTGTTGGCAGCAGCTTTTGGGTTTGTGGGGTTATTTTGCTATTCAGTGTAGGGAAGGAGAAATAACCTGAGTAGAAATAGTGGGAAATGAGAAAGACAGACAAGAGACAAAAGATAGGATGGGGTCGGATGGTCTGATGCAGCTGATGACTGCAGCCAGCATGAAACTGTGGAAACACCTTTATTTATAAAGTATCTTTAACAAGGTAAATCTTAACACCTGGGGTAAAGATTAACTTTAAGGAGGAAAAGCTGTGTGCTTGCCAATAATAAGGAAAGTATGATGGGCTACGTGACTTCTGGCAGGTGAAAAGAATGTTTGATGTTAAAGGAGAAGCAGCTGGGAGGCGGGGGTCCTTCCTTGAACACCTCCCTGGGCTGTGGGGGCCCTATCACTTCAAAGCTATTCCCCACAGGGTTAGAAAGACTCTCCAGCAGCTTGGGAGTCCATTGACTGTCAGAGATGTGAAGGTGGGAGAAACACTTACTCCACCTACCCTTTTTACCAGATTCTAAGCATCCTTGGGGTTGATCTCTGCAAAATCTTTCTCTTTGTTCTGCTCTGCAACTTCATCCCATAGAGTCTCTTGTAGGTTCTGGCACCCTTCCCAGTTATTCCCAATCTATGTTTGTTTGTTTTATCTCTTTCATCAAAAATTTATCCTTGTTACTGAGACACTCTGGCAACTGGTGTCTCTGGTTAGCCGTTTTCCTTCATTTTCATCTGTTTCTGATTTTGTTTATTTGGGTCTTCTCTCTTGTGGTTAGTCTAGCAAGTGGTTTATTGATTTTGTTTATTTTTTTTAAACAACCAACTTTTGATTTTATTGATCCTTTGTATTTTTCTGTCTCCATTTTGCTTAGCTCTGTTCTTATTTCTTTCCTTATGCTACTTTTGGGTTTGGTTTGTTTTTCCTTTTCCAGTTCCTTGAGATACACTTTTAATGTTGTTTATTTGAAATCTTTCTTTCTTTTTTTTTTTTTTTTTTTTGAGATGGAGCCTCAAGCTATCCCCCTGGGTAGAGTGCTGTGGTATCACAGCTCACAGCAACCTCCAACTCCTGGGCTCAAGTGAGTCTCCTGCCTCTCTGCCTCCCAAGTAGCTGGGACCACAGGTGCCCGCCACAACGCCTGGCCATTTTTTTTGGCTGCAGCCATCATTGTTTGGCGGGCCCGGGCTGGGGATTTGGACCCGCCACCTTAGGTGTATGTGGCTGGCGCCTTAGCCGCTTGAGCCACAGGCACTGAGCCTTTTTTTTTTTTTTTTTTAAGAGATGGAGTCTTGCTGTATTGCTAGGCTGGAATGCAGTGGTACAATCATAGCTCCCTGCAGCCTCAGTCTCCTAAGCCAAGCAATCCTCAGCCTCAGCCTCAGCCTCCCAAGTAATTGGGATACTACCAAGTAATTGTAGCCCTCCATGATGTGGGTGGGTGCTGGCAGTGGCAACCGTTGGCAAATTGGGCCTATCCTTAGAACCCTGGGTGGTGTTATGTTGTCAATGGTAACATGTTGAGGTGGTGTTTCTTCTGTTTCTCAATGTGTGTGGGCAGTAGGTGTGATGGTTGGTATAGGGCTGTCCTCAGGCCCCTTTTTGGTGTGCAAAGACATCAGCTACAGTGGGTAGGACAGATTGATCCCTAGGCTCCCAGGTGGCATGCTTGGGTGCTGCCAGAGGTGGCAGTGAATAGTGCAGACATATCCACAGGCCCTTGATGGTATGTGTGGGTACCAGCTATGATGAACAAGCCCTTTGTGCTATTTTTTGAGCTATCCTCTTCTCTGAGAGAGCAGAATGGCGTTCTCCCTCCTTTCTTTGGGTTTTTGCTCAAACATCATCTTTTCAGTAAGATCTTTCCTGGACCTATATAAAATTGCAAAGTACTTTATACTTTCAATCCCCTTTCCCCAACCTATTTTTATCCACAGTACTATCCTGCTATGTTTGACTTTTTTATTTTCTTCTCCATTAAACATTATATGGGCAAGAATTTGTTTTGTTTTGTTTTTAATAGCAATTGCCATAGAGTGGGCACTAAGCAAATATTTGTTGAATGAATTACAAAAATAACCCTAGCACTCCTTTTGTGTATTGTCCATTATAAGAGCAAAATATTTTCTAAAACTAGAGAGGGAGAGAGGGAAAAGGAAATATAAATTCTTATTTTAAAAGTGGTGGTTCTGAAATGGGATAGTGTACTTATTTTTTGTAATTAGAAATTGTTAGTAATAATTTTTTCTTATAATTGATTATTTTATTGAAAATTTGGAGATATGTAAGTATAAAGAAAAGAACATCCATAATTCTTTCTTCTGGAGTTAACTGATTAATATTTTGATATATTTTCTTTTTTCTATATATTTTATTTCTTTATTTTTGGCTTTTATTAATACGTTTTATATATAATAATTGTATGTATTTATGGGGTATAGTTGACATTTCAGTACAATATGTAATTGTGTAAATGTACCAAAATGTGATTATATCAGGGTAATTAGCATATCTGTCACCCCAAACATTTATCATTTCTTTATATTGGGAACATTCAAAATCTACTCTTTTCTAGCCAATCGAAAATATAAGGTAATTATTGATAACAATGTTCCTTATTACCATAGAACACCAAAACTTATTCCTCTTATGAGCTGTACTTCTGTATCCATTAAGCACACTTTAGCTGTCCCTTCTCACCCCTCTCATTCCCTGCCTCTATTAACACTATTCTACTCTGTCCTCCTCTTAATGTGAGATCAATTTTTTTAGTTTCCACATATGAATGAAAACATGCAATATTTATCTTTCAGTGTCTGGCTTATTTCACTTAATATAATGTCCTGAACCATGTTGTTGTGAATAACAGGATTTTGTTCTCTTTTATTGCTTAGTAGTATTCCATTGCGTATGCCCTTTATTCACTCATTTGCTGATGGATACAAGTTGATTCCCTATCTTGGCTATTGTGAATAGTGCTTCAGTAAACATGGGAGTGCAGATATCTCTTCAATGTGCTGATTTCCCTTCCTTTGAATACAAATCGAGCAGTGGGATTGCTGGGTCATATAGTAATTCTAGTCACAGTTTTTTGTTTTTGTTTTTTTTTGAGACAGAGCCTCAAGCTGTCCCCCTGGGTAGAGTGCCATAACATCACAGCTCACAGCAACCTCCAACTCCTGGGCTCAAGCAAGTCTCCTCCCTCAGCCTCCCAAGTAGCTGGGACCACAGGCACCTGCCATAACACCTGGCTATTTTTTGGTTGCAGCTGTCATTGTTGTTTGGCAGACCCAGGCTGGATTCGAACCCGACACCTTAGGTGTATGTGGCTAGTGCCTTAGCCACTTGAGCCACAGGCACTGAGGCTAGTCACAGTTTTTTTTTTTAGGAAACTTCATACTGTTCTTTGTTTTGACTGTACTAATTTTCATACCCACCAACATTGTATAAGAGTTCCGTTTTCTTTATATCGGCATTAGCGTTTCTTTTTGTCTTTTTGATAATAACCATATCTTGATGGTATCTCATTGTGGTTTTGATTTTCATTTCCCTGATGATATTGGTGATTTTTTCATATATCTGTTGGCCATTTATATGTTTTTTTTAAAGAGATGTACATTCAACTCTGCCCATTTTTATTTATTTATTTATTTATTTATTTATTTAGACAGAGTCTCACTTTGTCACCCTCAGTAGAGTGCCATGGCATCCTAGCTCCCAGGAACCTCAGTTTCATGGGCTCAAGCAATCCTCCTATCTCAGTCTCCCAAGTAGCTGGGACTATAGGCAGCCACTACAACTCCTATTTTTTTTTTTTTTTTTTTTTAGAAATGGGGTCTTGCTCTTGCTCAGGCTAGTCTTCAACTCCTGAGCTCAAGCAATCTACCCACCTCAGCCTTCCAGAGTGCTAGGATTATAGGCATGAGCCCCATGCCCAGGCATTTGCCCATTGTTAAATCAGATTATTTGATTTTTGGCTGTTGAGTTGTTTGAGTTCCTTATATATTCTGAATATTTATATTTTCTCCAATGAATAATTTGCATATATGTTCTCCCATTCTAGAGGTTGTCTCTTCACTTTGTTGGTTATTTCCTTTGCTGTGGAGAAACTTTTTAGTTTGATAGAATACCATTAGACATTTTTGCTTTTGTTGTCTATTCTTTTGATTTCTCCATAAAATCTTTGCCCATATCAATGATCTGAAGTGTTTTCCTTTATTACTTTCATATTCGAGGGCACATTTTAGCCTTAATCTGCTTAGAGTTGATTTTTATGCATGGTGAGAGATAGGGGTCTAGTTTCATTTTTCTGTGTGTGGATTTCAAATTTCTTCAGCATGATTTACCAAAGAGACTATTCAGAGACATTCCCAGGGAATGTTCTTGGTGCTTTTGTCAAAAATTAGTTGGCTATAAATACATAGATTTCTTTCTGGTTTCTATTTTGTTCCATTGGGTTTAGTTTCTGTTTTTATGTTGATACCATGCTATTTTGGTTACTATAGCTTTGTAATATATTTGAAGTGTCAATATATTTTGAAGTCTGGTAGTGTGATGCCTCCAGCTTTGTTCTTTTTGCTCAGGATTGTTTTGGCTATTTGAGGTGTTTTGTGCTTTCATATGAACTTTAGAATTGTTATTTCTATGAAGAATTTCATTGGTAGTTTGATAGGGATTGCATTGAAACTATAGATTGCTTTGGGTAGTTTGATCATTTTAACAATATTAATTCTGGCTTGGTGCCGGTTGCTTAGCAGCTAGGGCACCAGCCATGTACACTGGGGCTGGCAGGTTCGAACCCTGCCTGGGCCTGCTAAACAACAATGACAACTACAATAACAACAACAACAAAATAGCTGAGCACTGTGGCAGGTGCCTGTAGTCCCAGCTACTTGGGAGGCTGAGGCAAGAGAATCACTTAAGCCCAAGAGTTGGAGGTTGCTGTGAGCTGTGATATAGGGCACTCTACTGAGGGGGACATAGTGAGACTCTGTCTCAAAAAATATATATATTAATTCTTTTAATTCATGAATATGCTATGTATTTCCATTTTTTGGTGTGTCCTCTTCAATTTGTTTCATCAGTGTTTTATAGTTTTCCTTGTAGAGATCTTTCACTTCCTTGGCTAAATTTATTTATTTATTTTTGGTAGCTATTATAAATAGGAATGGTTTCTTGATTTCTTCCTGCTAGTTCATTATTGGTTTATAGAAATGCTGCTGATTTTTGTATATTGATTTTGTATCTTGGATCATTACTGAATTAATAATCTATTAGTTATAAGAGTTTTTGGTGGAGCGTTTAGGGTTTTCCATATATATATTTTTTAATAAAAGTAAGATCAAACAATATGTAATTTTTATCACTTTTTACTCATTTTATATTTTAAAGAAATTTCCCATGTACCAAAGTATTAAGAACATGTTCTTTAGTTAATTGCAGAGTGGTTCTTTTTATCATAGAATAAATCGTATTGTTATCTGCCCAATCTCTTGCTATTGGACATTAAGATTGTTTCTGGATTTTTTGCTTTTGCTGTTATAAATTAAGTCATTAGTTCCTTTTTTAAAATTGAGGTCTACTTTTCAGATAGTAAAGTACACAAATCTTAAGAGTTAGCTTAATGTTTTTTTACATGTGTATTCTCCTGTGAATTTCTTCTCAATTATTTTGAACAAACAGAAGCCTCCAAATAGGAAGAGGCTCCAAGAACTGATGTAATAGTTCCTGACTTTTGCCAGACTGGTAGAATTCTATGTCATTGGCCTGTAATTTTTGTATCAAAGCTAATATCCCTTAGGAGGAAGATTTTAAAAAGATTTTTGAAATGCTGCTAGACCCTTTACAACTTTTATGTTTGTCTTTACTTCAGAAAGGCTTTTAATTTTAAGAGAAATTTCCATGTAAATTAGAAGGAAAAGGTATGGTCTGGTAGACACAAAGAAACAATAGTTAAGACAAAGCTGATTCATTATACTTAAGCTTTGGGTTGTTGGGAGATATAATTAGCCTAAGATTTAAATATATATATGTAATTTAAAATTTTAGTGGCTCAGCTCGGTACCTGTTGCTCAGCAGTTAGGGCACTTGCCACATGCACCAGGGTTGGTGGATTTGAACCCAGCTCCAGGCTGCTAAACAAACAAACAAATGAACCAACTAAAAAAATTGCTGGGCATTGTGGTGGGTGCCTATAGTCCCAGCTACAAGAGAGGCTGAGACAAGAGAATCACTTGAGCCCAAGAATTTGAGGTTGCTGTGAGCTTTGAAGCCACAGCACTCTACTAAGGGTGACAAAGTGAGACTCAGTCTAAAGAAAAAAAAAATTAGTAACTCACAATTGTTGGACTTTATGTTGTTAACAAAGAATCCTAAGTCTATGCGCAAAGAATCTTAATAATAAGATTCTTTATATTACAGTTACTTGTATCCTGAATTTTTTGTTAGATATCCTATTGTTATACCATTGGAATATTATGTTGTGAAAATCCTAGTGAATAAATAGAAAAGAATAAGATAAAAAATGTTCAGAACAAGGAGTAATATTTTGGATTTTTACTTTCATTAAGACTATTACAAGATTTATAAATACATGTGAACTTTTTTTTTCACTATACAGAAGTATTATCAATATATTTAGCAATTATAGCATAATTACCTTATGATAAGCCTTGAAAGAACAAATTGCATATTTTAGACTGAAGTCTTTTTTTATAAAAATGTGTCCATATAGCTGTTTCTCATTTTTTTTTTAATAGAATGGTGGAAGAATACCATGATTTATATAAATTACAAAGAAACAGGATGGAGAATGATATTAAACAGTTAATGACTGAAAGAGATGTCTGGAGTACAGCCACATATGACTTGGCTCTAAAGGTTGGTTCATCTGGATTCAGAATTCGGTCTTTCTTTTTTGCTGAAAGTTGGTTTTACAATGTGTAATAATCTAGACAAAAACTTTAAAACTGAAGATGTATATTATTGACACAATATAGCTTTTGCAGGCCTTGAAAAGGGAAAGTTAAACTTTTTCTTTTGTTTCTTTTCTTATTGGCTACCTAGCTATTACACAATTAAGGACTCTTTTTTTCCCACTAGACTCTATAAAGTATGAGAAATAATTCCTCTTCTGATGTTGGGAACATGTTAAATTTTTAAACTTTATACTATTTTATAACATTTATACTATTTATAATAAGTTCATACTAATTTATACTATTTATTATAATTTATAATACAGTAGGAAAGGTGGTTCTTATTTTTCTCACATAATCATGTAAGGATCACTGAATATCATACTCATAGTCTATTACCTTGGTACACAAGGTAATGAGTCTGGCATCTAGAAATTATAGATATTAACAGTAAATTTTGACCCTAAACAGATTAAGAAATTACTTCAAGGCCACATGCAGTGGCTCACGCCTGTAAACCCAGCACTTTGGGAGGCAGAGGTGGACATACTGCCTGAGCTCATGAGTTCGAGACCAGCCTGAGCTAGAACGAGAACCCATCTCTAAAAATAGCTGGGTGTTGTGGCAGGTGCCTGTAGTTCCAGCTACTTGGGAGGCTGAGGCAAGAGAATCATTTAAGCCCAAGAGTTAGAGGTTGCTGTGAGCTATGTGTGCCAGGACACTCTACTGGGGGGAGAAAGTGAGACTCTTATCTCAAAAAAAAAAAAAAAAGAAATTGCTTCAGTTGGATTGGTTCAGTGTTCCACTGGTGGCAGGTCACAGAGTTCTCCATGGGGATATCCTATATTAATACCTCCATATTAGGATTCTTTTTTCTTTCTTTCTTTTCTTTTCTTTTTTTAAATTGAGACAGAGTCTCACTATGCTGCCCTTGGTAGAGTGCTGTGGCATCACAGCTCACAGCAACCTGAATCTCTTGGGCTTAAGCGGTTCTCTTGTCTCAGCCTCCCAAGTAGTTGAGACGACAGGTGCCCACCACAATGCCCAGCAATTTTTTTGTTGTAGTTGTCATTGTTTTTAGCAGGCCCGGGCTGGGTTCGAACCCACCAGTCCCCAGTGTATGTGGCCAGCACCCTAGCTATTGAACTATGGGTGCTGAGCTACATATTAGGATTTTGTATTTAGATCCTGCCCCATGTAGTTTGTTAAGTATTTTGATGAAAATTATTTGTCAAACTGTGCCAAGGTCCCAAAGCTAGAGAGAAAACAATACAATGGCTGGTGGATTCAAGACTTGTTGATTCAAGAGATAATTATTATAAATCTAGAGCATTAATGGGGATATGCTAGAGGCGTTCCCATTCAAGAGAGGAGAGATTTCTAGTATCACAAGAGGCTCTAATTCAGTAATGAAATGCAAGTAAAATTGAGGTATAAATCCTAAAGAGAACTTGCAAAAATCACTATTATTTGCTGATTATACAATCAACTACTCAGAAAACTGGAAAAATCAATGTAAAGATTACTTGAAGTAATTAGCTTTTGATAAGGTAACTGGATACCAGATAAATATATAAAACCCAGATTCCTGCATACCAATAATAAGCAATTAAAAATGCAGAGAATGAATAAACTTAAGAAAGGACAAGCCCTATTTGTTGAAAACTCTAAAACTGTATTAAAGAACCTAAAAGAAAACAAATTAAAGAGACTTATATGATATATTACCAATTCAGAACAATAATTAATATTGTATAAATGTCAATTCCTTCCAAATTAATTTATAAATTCAATATAATTCTATTAAAAATAAATATCAAGAGCTATCTTATTTTTAGGGTCAAGTTGATTATAAAACACATCTAGACATGAGGATATAAAACATTATAAAAGAAAAAAAAATTTTTTGTGACAATCTCACTGAGTCACCTGAATTAGAGTACTATGGCATCATCATAGCTCACAGCATTCTCAAACTCCTAAGTTCAAGCAATCCTGCCTTAGCCTCCTGACTAGCTGGAACTATAGGTGCCTGCCACTATGCCCAGCTTAATTTTTCTATTTTTAGTAGAGATGTGCTTTCACTTTTGCTCATGCTGGTCTTGAGCTCTTAAGTTCAAGCAATTCTCCTGCCTGAGCCACCACACCCAGCCTCTAAAAGAATATTAATAAAAAATAACTTGCTCAATATCAATCTGTGATGTTTCAAAAAATAACTTGCACTTCTAGATGTTATAGAATATAACATATATATAATAGATATATATATTTTTTGAAACAGAGCCTCAAGCTGTCACCCTGGGTAGAGTGCTGTGGCATCACAGCTCACAGCAACCTCCAGCTCCTGGGCTCAAGCAATTCTCCTGCCTCTGCCCCCCAAGCAGCTGGGACCACAGGCACCCGCCACAACGCCTGGCTATTTTTTGGTTGCAGCTGTCATCAGTTGTCATTATTGTTTAGTAGGCCCGGGCTTGTACAATTGATTTGATATCCATGTATGAGTATTTCTCAAAGTGTGGTCCAGGGACTCCATGGAAGTCTGTGAGCCCCTTTAAGAAGCTCCATGGGATTGTAACTAATTTCATCATAATATTAAAATGTTATTTGCCTCTTTCACTCGTATTCTCCCATGAGTATGCAGTGGACCTTTTGAGAAGCTACTTCACGTGGGCTATTGCAACAGATTGAATGCAAAAGAAAACGTGAGAATCCAACTCTATTCTAAGACAGGCATTTACATTTGTAATAGCATGAAACAAAAATACCTTTTCACTTTTTTTTTAAAAATATATTTTTTCACAAAATTCTCTTTATGTTAATATATAATAATTTTTTAATGTTTAAGTGAATTAATAAATACATATTTTTAATAATTTTAGCTTAATTTCCAATATAGTAACTATCAATAGATACAATCCATACAAATAAAAGAGTACTTTGGAGTACTCTTTTTTTTTTTGAGACAGAGTCTCACTCAGTAGCATGCTGTGGTGCCACAACTCACAGCAACCTCCAACTCTTTGGCTTAAGCGATTCTCTTGCCGCAGCCTCCCAAGTAACTGGAACTACAGGTGCCTACAACGATGCTCAGCTATTTTTTTTTGTTGCTGCAGTTGTCATTGTTGATTTTAGCTGGCCTGGGCCAGGTTTGAATCCACCAGTCTTGGTGTATGTGGCTGTTGCCCTACCCACTGAGCTATGGGCCCCGCCCTACTCATTCAGTTTTGAGTATAAAGGGGTATGGAGATTAAGTTGTATGAGAACTTCTGCTATATATTATTATTTGGTTCCAATTTAGTAGTTTTTGAAAACATGAATTTGTAATTCATAGTAGATAATGATTTAAACAAGAAGTTTTGGTTAAGTTAATGATTCAATGAGAAATTAATATATGAAACCAGTGTAATAAATTATAATGGTTTGTTAATGTTTTAGGCTCCTGATTATAGTACATTATTTTTATAGGTAATTGATAGAAATAACGTCGTATTGGCTAAAAGACTTTACCTCAATGAAAAAGGCTGGGATAAACACACTAAGCATTTCATCATCCTGCTGACAACTAAGGTAAAGCTTAAGTTATAGCAAGAAAGACTGCAAATGTTGAGGGTTGAGACTATAAGAAATCTTTGCTAAATTTACAGATTTTGAAACATGGTTTTATATTTGTGCTTCATTGTGTGCAGAATGAAAAATCTAAGGAAAGGTGAATAAAGGTTCTTAATTCCTTATATTCATTTTCTATCCTAACTAAAGCAATTTATCTGAGTTTATTAATACTACAAAGTCATTCATAGAATTACGGTTATATTTATTAGTGCTTCAACTAAAGAAAAGTAAGTAGCTATATTTATTGAAGGAGTTAGTTACATCAGGGGTCCTCAAACTTTTTAAACAGAGGGCCTGTTCACTGTCCCTCAGACCATTGGAGGGCCGGACTGTGGGCCCTGGGATGAGTCGGCTGCTAAGCAGGACAGGCAGTGGCGGCAAAAACACCCGGCAGGCCGGATAAATGTCCTAGGTGGGCCACATATGTACAGGCTGTAGTTTGAGGACACCTGCACATTATCCATGCATTATATGCAATTTTGGGGGACAATTCATTCAATACACTAGGAGGAAAGGGGAGGAACTGGCATTTAGTGTGTTTCTACTGAGTAAAGCCAGGTACACTAGTCATTTGATTTAACTCTGAAAACACTCCTGTGAAATAGGCATTAAGGTCTTTATCTTATGAATAATAGAAATTAATGACAAATTTCATTACACAGCTAGTCATGACTAGGATTCACATTTGGTTCCACCTGGCCTTGTGGTTCCTCTTCATTCTAGTGCACCACATGACTCCTGTGAAAGTCCTGTGGGAAAACGGGGTGTGTGTTACAAGGAAGAAATAATCTTGTCTATAATACTTTATGTATCATGGAAAAACTGTCACCAAATGAACTGTGTAGTAGTATTACTGATGATATTTTGAAAAAGAGCTATCTTCAATTTTTTGATTCATTCCTTATGATTTCTCTAGTATTACAGTATTAATCATGGCCCAGTGTATGTTAACGAATATTTACATATTCATGAATAAATGAACAATTTGTTTAATTCCATGCACTTTTATCTAGGACACTGCAGACCTTGCGCTGTTGCAGAAGTTGACACACAAATGGAAAAACTTAGTGAATAAATATAGAGAGGAGATAGAACATACTGAAGAGATTACAAGGAAGACATTGCAAATTGTTAGGGATGGCCTTAGCAAATGGCAGGAGCATTTCAAAAATACTACGTGAGTCACCGAATGTTCTGTTTTTCTGATTATATCATGTCTGATAACAGTCCAATTCTGTTTCTCTCTTTTACCTTCCCATTGCTCTAATAATGATCTTGGGGAGGTAACCAGCAGTCTTTATGAGGGCACAATCCTGAGAGGACCTTGAATAGTCCTGTGCTTTCTAGTGCTTAGTATCTCTGTAGTACATCCTGAACCCCTGCCCAGCTGTTGCCGCCTCCATTTATCATATTTTGCTGTGTATAATGAACACATTTTTGCCCAAATTTTTGAGGAAAAGTAAGGATGCTCATTATACATTAATAGGACAGCTTAAAGCAGGAGAGCCCAATAGAGGCCTGCTGGACACTGCACCGTCCTGCCTGGGCCTGGTGGGCACGTGATGTTCCGATCCAGAAGGATCTGGGATCTGGTGGGAGCAGACCAGAGCAACCTCTGCTGAGCACCACAATCAAGGGAGAGGATGGTGGCGGGCTGGTGAGGTGGGCCACGTGGAAAGGACCAGGAGCCCTAATGGAGGCCCTAAGGACGCCCCTGGCTGGCTGCTGGCCAAAAGGCCTCAGAAGGCCCCGGCCTGCTGGCCACCTGCGTGATCATCTCAGCCATGGCTCTGATGTGATGGGGAGGGAAGGGCTCCCAGGAGAGAGGGAAGGGGCAAGTTTCACAGAGTGGGATGCTGTGGAAGGGTAGTGTGATCTGCATATTTATTTGGGGAGCATTAGCCCTCCCCAGATGTGTTTCTTCCACCTGAGGGCAGGCTACTTTCTCAAGGGGGGTTTTCCTCAAAGTTTGGGCCCAAAACATGGGCATGCATTATACATGGCAAAACATGATACGTCTAGCTCTTTTAAAAATAAAGTCAACTTGTGTCATTACTATTGGCAAACTTGAGCATCTGCAAATACATGTGGAGAGAAATAAAACCAATGGTGGCAGCTACAGGGAGAGTGATTTTGATTGAATATTATACTTTGTAATGATTAGAGAAATCTGACAGTGGAAGAAGCTACAAATAAAGTAGCTACATTGAGGCCAAATGCTTAAATCACAGTCAGGGTTACTGGGAATCTATACTTTGGCTGTGGGCTGGACTAGACTAAAGTTCTTTTAGACTTTAATATACTTTGTTGAGGAGACACATGTGGGTACAATTTCCATTTCAGATTGAGAACAGTGGTTTCAGTTTTTCTTTTTTTTTTCTCTCTCTCTCTTTTTTGAGACAGAGCCTCAAGCTATTGCCCTGGGTAGAGAGCTGGTGTCACAGCTCACAACAACCTCAAACTCCTGGGCTTAAGCGATTCTCTTGTCTCAGCCTCCCAAGAAGCTGGGACTACAGGCGCCCACCACAACACCCGGCCATCTTTGGTTGTAGTTGTCATTGTTGTTTGGCAGGCCCAGGCTAGATTTAAACCCGCCAGCTTTGGTGTATGTGGCTGGCACCTTAGTCACTTGAGCTACAGGTGCCTCTAGGTTTCAGTTTTTCATAACCACTAAAGGCTTTCTAAATTAGATTTGGAAATTCTAGAACAGTGATTTTCAACCAGTGTGCTGTGAGAGGACCTTAGGTGTACCATGAAAAATTTTAAAGATCATTGTTTTTTAAAGAAGTTCAAAGCACAGTAAGTATACTTTTTTTTAACTTTTTTTTTTTATCAACATCACTTAAGTGTGATTTGGAAGTTTAACTATAGGTTCAAGTGTGCTGTGAAATAAAAAAGATTGAAAACACTGTTCTAGAAGCTGAAGCTGTACATCTCCGACCTGTTTGCTGCTGCTATGTGCTCATTGCTGTTTGTTGACACTTAGTGGGAGAGGAGCATAGGTGGCTGTGGTTCTCTTCTTTCTCCTCATGAACTTCTTTATCAATAGCTTTCACCTTGTGAAACTTCATAGCAATTAAAGAAAACTCTTTTTTGCCATAGTTGGGACGCTTAAAACTTGACCCTTTATTGATGCTGTTGGCATCCTTTCTATTTATATGTTTTAGGAGCTGTGTTCAACATAAATTCTTCTCATGATGACCTAGTTCTGAATTCTCAAGACTCAGAGACCACTCTTTAAAAAAATACTATCATGAGCATCGCCCTATAGCTTAGTTGCTTGGGTCTGATTAGAGTCTGAATTTATATTTATAATTTTAAAGATAAATGCAATGCCTATGGGGAGAGCGGCTAGAACTGGAACACGTACTTGAAAATCATTGTAGAGAAACATCATATTAATTGTTTCGTGTATAGACTTAAGTTTATGCCTTGTGCTGAGGCCTTTCTCTTACTATCTTTTCTTCTTTCAGTGTTACATTCGTTTTGTCCCCTAATAAGGCAAATGTGTTTGAATTAATTCTTTTAGACTTCAAGCAGTGGCAAAAGGTAAGACTTTCTAATAAATAGTTTGGTAATCAAAGTGCTGGCTGTGAAACTAACACTCCTTACCTATAAGACCACCAGGACTTTTAAAAATATACTTCAGTATTTTCAGGCTGGGCACAATGGCTCTCACCTGTAATCCTAGCACTCTGGTAGGCTGAGGTGGATGGATCACCTGAGCTAATGAGTTCGAGACCAGCCTAAGCCAGAGCAGGATCTTATCTCTAAAAATAGCAGGGTGGGTGGTGCCTGTGGCTCAAAGGAATAGGGTACCGGCCCCATATACTGGAGTTGGTGGGTTCAAAACTGACCCTGGCCAAAAACGGCAAAATAAATAAATAAAATAAAAATAACTGAGTGTTGTGGTGGGTACCTATAGTCCCGGGTACTCAGGAGGCTAAGGCAAGAGAATTGCTTAAACCCAAGAGTTTAAGGTTGCTGTGAGCTGTGATGCCACAGCATTCTACTGGGGGTGACATAGTGAGACTCTGTCTCTCTCTCTTTCTCTCTCTATATATATATGCTTCAGTATTTTCATTTCTATTTCAGATTTGGAGGCCAAATAAAGTTAGGTTGCTAGAAAAGAAATTTGGAAAAGATAGATGGGTGGCAGTGAGGGTAGTTATGATTCTCTTATTTGTCAAGACATAAGTAACATTAGTGCCTCTCTTGCATCTGACTTTTGTTTTAAGGAAAATTGGACTTTTAAAATTAATAACATCTTTTTTTATTACTGTGAAATATATATTAATATAAAATTTGCCACATTATGGGCAGCACCTGTGGCTCAGTGGTGGAGCACCAGCCCCGTATACCAAGAGTGGTGGGTTCAAACCCAGCCCTGGTCAAACTGCAACAACAAAAATAGCCGGGCGTTGTGGCGGGTGCCTATAGTCCCAGCTACCCAGGAGGCTGAGGCAAGAGAATTACCTAAGCCCAGGAGTTGGAGGTTGCTGTGAGCTGTGTGATGCCACGGCACTCTACCGAGGGCAACAAAGTAAGACTCTGCCTCTACAAAAAAAAAAAAAAAAAAATTGCCATATTATTTGCATTCACATTATTGTACAGTCATCACCACCATCCATCTCTAGAACATTTTCATCCTCCCCAACTGAAATCCTATACTCGTTAAATAGTAACTCCCCATGTCTGCCTCTTCCTAGTCTCTGGCAATCATTAACTCTACTTTCTATGAATTCGATTGCTCTAGCCACCTCATGTAAGTTGAATAATACAATATTTTCCTTTTGTGCTTGGCTTATTTCCCTCAGCATGATGTCCTCAAGGTTCATATTTCAGTAGTATACTTCAGAATTTTCTTGTTTTTTAAGGCTAAATAACATTCCCTTATATGTGTATATCACATTTTCTTTATCCATTAATAAAATCTTTCTAAAAGGGTTTGAGCTTTGAAATTAGTTTTTATTAATCAAATCACTTTCATGTTATAGTAATCTAACAAAGGAAAATATATGACACTGAAATACTTCCAAAGTAAATATCAAATTCATGGCTTTATGAATCTTATGTAGATCCCAAGAAACCATTTTTTCTTTTGGAATGACTTGAGTGGAATATGCTCAGAATTGAAGATGTTTGCTGTTCTATATACAATATACCAAGTTAATGACTTTTTTACTGTTTATCTGGCAGTTTTGATATGCATAGATACAATTTAAAAACCATGCTTCTTATTCATTAGGAATAATAATAACTCATTTATTAAGCACTAACTCTTTGTCAGGAGCTGAAAATGTTTTCCATATGTTACCTTTCGTACTACTTATGGCCAGCAGTACCCCCAGCAGTATCCCCTTCTCACAATGTGGAAATTAAAGCTTCAGAATATTGTGTAGTTTACCTAAGTTGTCTATAAACAGTAAGTGGCACAGTCAGCATTTGTGTCCAGGTCTCTCCAATACCAAAATTCTTACTGTTAATTATCTTTTATATTGCCTCCCTATACTGATAACTTTTAATGAATGATATTTCCATTTTCTGAGAAACCAATAATGGCAAGCTTTATGTATAAATTGTATTTTATTTTTTCCAGAAATATTTATTGATACATAAATAAAATATAACCTGTACATCCTTGGAACTTTCCCAATCTAGTGGAGATTATGTAAACAGATATATTACACCCTTACTAAAGCAAGTAGTAATTAAATATGCTCAGTTCTCTAGTGCTTAATTGCCTGTCACTAATTTTTTACTCACATAGGATTTAATATAATGATCTTTATCTTAGTAAATCATGAGTTACCTCAGAGAGTATTGAAATTAATTTAAATTCACTTTAATTTTCAAAATATATGTCACATACTGTATCTGTGGAAAAAATGTTATGAATAATAATAGGATATACAACTACAAAACAATTGGAAGTCACTGAGGAATAAGGATCTGAGTAGACTGATAAAATTATTACTGAACAATGTGTTAATTTTTGCCCTCCTTTTCACTCTTTAGGGACTGAATGATGTGAAAGAAAAGTTTACTGGAGATGCTCTACTGTCGAAATACGATACTCTTAAGATTATTAAACATTTACAGGAAAACTGGTCAGATATTGGGTTTGCGATATTTGGTCGCCATAGAAGTTTGGAGGGAGAGATGCCAGCAGAGCAAAAGCAGATGGACGATATATTAAAAATCATACTAAGACTCTACAAAGAATTTGAAATAAGAATAAATGGGGACAATGGTAAGAAAAAAAACATGATAATTAGATTTCTTGGTATTATAAAGCATTTCAATAGGAACTATTGGGTGGAACCTGTGGCTCAGTGGGTAGGGTGCCGGCCTCATGGCCAAACTGCAACAAAATATAGCTGGGCATTGTGGCAGGCACCTGTAGTCTCAGCTACTTGGAGGCTGAGGCAAGAGAATCGCCTAAGCCCAAGAGTTGGAGGTTGCTGTGAGCTGTGATGCCACAGCACTTTACCAAGGGCAACATAGTGAGACTCTGTCTCAAAAAAAGTAAAAGTAACTATTTTTAATATAATTAATGTTTAAAATAAAAGTAATATATACATACAGTATCCAAAATCAAGCAAAATAAGCAAAGCATTGAGCATCACTTTATTGAAATATAATTTATTTACATTATAATCACCTACTTCAGGTGCATGATTCTATGATTTTTTACTATATTCACAGACATGCATCTATTAACCACAGTCAATTTTAGAATACTTTCATCAAAATAAACCTCAGAAGAAACCTCTTACTCTTTAGCTCTCACCCTTTATCCACACCTCCATATCTGCCTTAGTCCTAAATCTACTTTCTGTCTCTATAGATTGCCCTGTTCTGGACTTTCATATGATTGAAATCATATGCTGTGTGATCTTTTGTGACTAGCTTCTTTCACTTGGCATAATATTTTCAAGGTTCTTCCATGTTTTAGTGCATATCAGTGTTCATTCATTTTTACGACCTAATATTCCTTTGTATGTATAAATCACATTTTGTTTGTCATTTCATCTGTTGACTGACTTTTGTGTTGCCAGTTTGGGGCTACTATGAATAATGCTATTAATAACATACACATCTGTGTACACATTTCTGTATATATAACTATGGGGAGGGGGAGGGATAGGTTGATTTCTCAGTGAGGTACCCTGCCTCAATCTTGGGATATCCAGTGGGAAAGCTTGCAGACCAGCAATCTCTGGGGGCTCATCAAAACCACTGGAAGAGGCTCGGCGCCTGTGGCTCAAGTGGCTAAGGCACCAGCCACATACACCTGAGCTGGCGGGTTTGAATCCAGCCTGGGCCTGCCAAACAACAATGATGGCTGCAACCAAAAAATAGCCAGGCGTTGTGGTGGGCGCCTGTAATCCCAGCTACTTGGGAGGTGGAGGCAGGAGACTCGCTTGAGCCCAGGAGTTGGAGGTTGCTGTGAGCTGTGACACCACGGCACTCTACCCAGGGTGACAGCTTGAGGCTTCGTCTCAAAAAAAAAACCACTGGAAGATGGAAAGAGCCCAGAGTATTAAGCTCTTTGAACTTTTGATATGTAGTTAGATTAGGAAATGCGGTTTACTTCCCCTATAGAACTAGTTTCTCCCAACCCCTTTCTAAATATACCATCAGTTGTTTGGTCTGTTAACAACTCCCTATGGTTTATGCATCCTCTCTCTCTATCCAGTCTTCTTGAGGATTTGGGGTTCTTTCAACTTATCTTTTGGCATTTTTACATTTTGCATAAGCACCTTTGTTGGAAATCAGTACAAACCTTCTGAGGAGGCCATAGAGGGATTGTTTGGTTTACTCGGCCTGAGTTCATGTAAGCCTTCTCCAGACATTCTCAGACGTTATGTTTTAAACTGGTGTGATTTTTTTTTATTTTCGGTGTAGTTTGCCCAGTAGGCTTTCAAACCAGGTAGGGGTTCAAAAGCAACAGGGTTCTGACATATACCCTGAAGTAGAATTCCTTGTCATGTGGTAACTCTATGTTTCATTTTTCAAAGACTGCCACAGTATTTTCAAAGTGCCACAGTGTTTCATAAATGCATTATTTTATATTCCCACCAGCATTGTATGAGGGTTCTGATTTTTCTACATTCCTGCTGGCACTTGTTATCTTACCTTTTAATTGTAGCCTTACAAGAGAGTGTGAAATAACATCTCATTGTGATTTTGATTTGTGTTTTCCTGATGACTAATGAAGCTGAGCATTTTTTTTTTTTTTTTGAGACAGAGTCTCACTTTGTCACCCCCAGTAGAGTGACATGGCGTCACAGCTCGCAGCAATCTCCAACTCTTGGGCTTAACTAATTCTCTTGCCTCAGCCTCCCAAGTCGCTGGGACTACTTCAGGCACCTGCCACAATACCAGGCTATTTTTTTGTTGCAGTCATCATTGTTGGTTAGCAGGCTCCGGGCCGGGTTTGAACCTGCCAGCCTCGGTGTATGTGGCCAGCGCCGTAACCACTGTATACAGGAGCCAAGCCTGAAGTTGAGCATCTTTTAAGGCTTATTAGACATTTGTATATCTTCTTTGGAGAAATATTGTTCTGGTCCTTTGCCAATGTCTTTTATTTTTGCTAAGTTAGAAAAATATTGATATTTTTGCTATTGGTTTGTAATACACATTAGGAAGAAAAGCAATATTGGAAATTTTCATACTACTAGAGAACACACCATTGTAAAACATTGGTAGATATTATATATTATCAATGTTATGCACTGTGATTGCTTGTATTAGACAGATGTCCACCAGTTGACAATAGATCATGCGAGATATTAGCCTATGAGATGTTAGCATTCTACATGGGTGGTTCTCAGACTTTAGTGTGATTAATTTAGGGATTTAGTGAAAAATGCAGATTCCTGAGCCCTGCAATCCATTCATTCTGGTACACTGTGTCTAGAAAGATGCCCACAACCAACAATTTTAGGAAGCTTCCTAGGTGATTCTGATCTAAGTGGTCCATGTAACATACTTTTAGAAAAAAATCCTTTATTATGAGCCACTTAGTAACTTGCTCTAATATAAATGTAAAACACCCTCCCCTCACATATACTAATGGTTCTTTGCCCATGTTTTTTTTTTTTTTTTTTTTTTTTT